ATTTTTAATTTCTATTGATTAAAACTAATTAATTTGAGAAATTATAGTTTGTGTGATAAAGTAAAAAAAACAAAAAATAACAACAATAAAAATAGAGAAAATAAATATGTAATTCTCATTAATTATAAGTCTTTAAACAAAGATAATTACACGTAGGTGCCGTTTACTAAACGGGTATGCGCTTACCAAGTCACTTTACTTTACCGGATGAATATGACAAGGATTAAAAATCTTACCCGGTAAGAGCAAAGGCAAGAATCGAGAGTCTTACCCGGTAAGTGAGGACGAGAACTCTTCCGTTCAAAAAAAAAAAAGTGAGGACGAGGACTCTTACCATGGTTAGTGCTTACTGGGATAAATTGTTGCATACGATGCGTTTTAGTGAAATAAAATCTTATCCGGTAAGTAAGCGATAATGTTGAATTTTACCGGGTAAGTGTTTAGGTAAACGGCCCCGTAGATAATCATGAGATATATCAATTTTAATATGTTTCTCTATATCTATCTGTCAAACATATTTATCCTGCAACAGTAAACTCTAACTTTTTATCATTGCTGTAATAGTGGTTCACACAATATATGGAGGAAGAAGCAGTCCTTAAAAAGAACCAATTCCTCTTTCATGACAGTGTCCCGTTCCCTCTAACCGTTGCCCCTTTTCTTGAACCGGTTTATGGACCCAATAAAACAACCATTAAGGGTGCTTTCAAATCAGAATCTTGCTAAATCTGTTTTATTTCGTAGACAAAATAAAAGGCGATGTATTTGTTCGTGAGACAAATTGACGAGTAACAACAATTATTATACGAATTTATGATAATAAAGTTCTAATAAATCATATTATCTTTTATATGTAAAATGTAAAATGTGTTTTAAAACATGATATGAGTAAGTGTATTTTATTAAAAAAAAAAAACTATTTAAAAAATGACCAGAAATTAAATTTTGAAATATTTAATGCATCCAATAATGTGTATAATAATTTAGTGAGCATCTTCTATCTTATCCAAATTTTGAAATGCAATATATAAAATTTTGGAGGTAAAAGTAGCATATTCAAATTTAAACCTATTGCCCAAACCCATCATACTTTTTATTTTATAACTTTTTTAACCAATATATTTTTTTTAAATTAGAAAGTATTGGTAAAATTTGTTCCACAAGACTATTTATTTTTAGCGAGAAGGATAAGGGTAGAAAATAAAATGAAGGGTAAATGGTTGAGTCCCGACAGTTAAGAGGTTGTGAATGATTCCATAAAGCCAATTCAATTTATATCTTACTCGTTAAGCCACAAACAAACAAGCATGGATGTATGACTGAAGAAATAAACCATATATTCCATTAAGCTTGTCAGCAAAAAAAAAATAGTCCCTTAGTTGCTCCTCCCACGTTTTCCTCGCCCTGTCCCTCTTCCTTACACCTCGACCCTAATGCACTCCATTTTCCTTACTGGTGCCAACGTCTGTCTCGCACGAACATGCCAAAACCACTGTAATCTCCCTTTTCTCATCATAGCTATTATAGGCATTACTCCCAACGTTGCTTGAGAACATTGTTCAGTATCCTGTCTAGCATGGTTATCCCACAAGTCCCTCTGAGCATCTTCATTTCAATTACCTTCATCATCCTCTCATGTGCTTAATTTATTGCCCACACTCTGCAACATACAACATAGATGGTCTAATAGTTACCTTGTAGAATTTTTCCTTCAACCTTAGCGGGACTTCGTGTCACACAACACCCCCTTGACAACCCTCCATTTTAACCAACTTGCCTTTAAGCGATATGTAACATCATCCCCGACTTCATCCTCATTCTCGCCCATAACGCCTAGATACATGACACTAAACTTTGAGGCTACCCCTTTACTCCCCTACGCTAACATCTATACCCTATCCTCGTACACCTCCTATTGAAGTTGAACCAACAGTATCCAGTCTTTGATCGAGTAATGTGCAAGCCTTGAGTCTCTAACGCTATATAACGTTATTTCAAATACTAGATCAAAAAACAAATATAATGTCAGTCAGTCGTGAATTTATCTGATTTATAAAAAAGTATGTGTAAAATGAATCAATGATCAAAGATAAAGGTTCACGGTTAAATTTTATGTTAGTATTGTCAATTATTTGTGACAGATAAAAACTAATAAACGAACGATAATTACATACATACCCAACATTATAATATATGCTTTTGCACATATTTTTGAGGAATGATTGAACCAATAGTTGTTTACTTAGAGTCACGTCACATTTATATACACGACACTTTTATAGAATAAAATAAATCATCATGCAATTTCTTGTTGCAAAATTTGTAGCTTGTTTTAAATGTAATGTTGTGATATAGAAGATAAAAAGTAACCGAAACCAGAAGTTCTGATAAATGAACGTGAACCCATGTGATTTCATTCCTTTTTTGACTTTTGTCGTCTTTTTGTATCCTAACATATCTAAGCATCCAACAAATTTCCCTTAAAACGTGGTTGTCGTTTTTAATTTGCACAATTATAAAAATGTAACTTTCAAGATATGCGACGTGTAATTATCATCTAATGTACAAGTGTAGACAATTTCTAATGATGTTTTGGAACTGTATATGTTCAACGGTCATCTAGCAGCTTTAAGAAACTGTATATCAAATGTAGGATCAGTTTTAACAAATTCTACGTAATTTTTTATTTAAATTATTATTCCATATATCTTATACAACAACGTTAATATTTTTTCTGAAGTTTTCAAATAAAGATGATTATTATGAGTAATCTAGCAATTTCATTTTATTATATATAAAAGTAACAATTAAATATATGATGGCATAATTAAATAAGACTCGTTAAGGAACCGTTTCTCAAATGCTTACTCGGTTAAGCGCTTACCCGGTAAGGACCAAGAGTCTTACCCGGTAAGGACCAAGAGTCACATTACCTCACCGAATGAATATGGTAAGGACCAAGAGTCTTACCCGGTAAGTGAGGGCGACGACTCTTACTATGGTAAGCGTTTACCAGGTAAATTTTACATGCGATGTCGCTGTGGTGGACTAAAATCTTACCAGTTAAGTAAATAGTAGTGTTAAATTTTACCTGTAAATACTTACTGGATAAGTATTTGATAAACAACTCTTAAATGTAAAAAATCTATAAGAACCGATACCAAAATACTGTTTATATGATATTTTTTTCATTTAAATCTAAAATTTAAAATATTATTTTAGTTATATAAAAGTAAATAAAAATACACAATATTATTTCATTATAATATATATAAATAATATTATAATGATTAAAGTAATAATTCAACAAGTACAAATTTGTATGGGGTAGATTTTTAGGCTGTCTTAAGCATTATTTACTTATACAGGTAGGCCTTGAAGTGAGCACTGTTTCTACTTTTAGTAACCCATGAGACTTACATTATTTATGTAAAGACATTTTTAACCCTGTTAATATAAATTCATACAACATTAAATATAACTATGACATATTCTTTTTTAAAGATAGAATAATTTTAACATATTTTATTATATGGATTGTTTTTTAAATATAATACGCTTTAAAAAACTTATTTCAACAAAAAACTATTAATATTTTTTTATTGTTTATTTTTAAATTCTTTTTTTATTATTAATGTAATATATTTATATATCAATTCAAATATTATATTTTAATTAAGTCTTATTCTAGTAAGGGGAGTCATGCAGGGTAATATTGTAATTTTGGAACACCAAATATAGGGAGAAAAGGGTGATTAAATTTCAAAGAAAATTACATTTTTGATCCTTGTTCCTTATACATTATAATGTCTTGTCCCTAAATTTCAAAGTAAATTACATTTTTGATCCTTGTTCTTTGTATGTGGTTATAACCACTTTTAACCACATTCAATGGATCATCTAAATCTAACAGTTTGGATGAGTTCCTCAGTTCTTTCTTTTTTTGAGGGTACTCATGACTTTTTTTTTCCTAATCTTCATCTATGCATTCATGGTTTCGGATTGAAGCAAAAGAAGAGACAAAAGCGACCCGTATCCTAGATCCATTTCTTTTTTTTAAGTATATAAAATTTATATACGGCAAATGCAGCAAATGAACTCACACGCCCTCTTCACCGTTGGTGAGGTTTGAACCATTGACCTTCTAGGAGGTCAAAGACTACGATACCGCTAGGCCGAAGGCCCTTTGGTTCCATTTCCCTTCTTCCCATCTTCATGTTTATGGTTTTGGGTTTGGGGGTGGTGGTTGGTGCTATATATCCTTCAAACAAAGATTTAAGCAGAGAAAGATTCATGGATGAGATCTTCATGTGATTATCTGGTTTTTAATTATTTGGGATTTTTTATTTGATTTTGAATTATTGTTTTTTGATTGTTTGGTTTAGATTTAGTTTTTCTTTTTTGGAATTTATAGATTTTGTATCATATTCATGAATAGATTTGCATAAACTTATTGTTACAGTCATTATGTTCATAATTCATGTTCTTACGCTTATTTGTATCATATTTATGAATAAATTCGCACATCTTTTTCTTCAATAGAAATTAAGAAAACAGAAGTAAATAATAAGAGAATTATTCTAAGGACTTAAAACGTTATAACATGTAAAACACAAGGACCAAAAATATAACTTCATTATAAATTTTAACATTCTCCGACTAGCCCCCACCCACCAAAAAAACTCTCTCTCTCTCTCCCTCTCTCCTAGATTAACCACAGGGAAACACAAAGACAAGAGTCAATCAGAAACCAAACAACCCCACAAACTCCAACTCCTCTAGCTGTTTTTCTCTCTCTCTCTCTCTAGACCCCCCTTTTTTATATTCTTTGTTTCTCTCTCTAACCAGAGAGACACGCCAGTCCAGGCGGCGGAGACTGGTGGTTGGTGGTGGTGGTGGGAGAGATGTTTCAGGTTTCTTGAACCCACCACTCAAGAAAAAGATTATCTTTTTTTAGAAAGAAAAAAAAAAGAAAATTTTAAGTACAAGAAAAGGAGCACATGGAACGAACAGATTTGCAGAGCAATAATAAACAAAGCAGCACTGCTCCCACCTCCAACACTCCGCAGCCCCACCACCACCACCACCATCACCACCACCTCCACCACCAACCTATGGTGGTCCCATTTGATGGCCGATCTGTAGCCCCATTCATGGGCTCCATATCCATCCAACCCACTCCTACTACTACCAGTGGTGGCTCTTCCTCTCTCTCTTCTCCTTCCAATCAACACCCACCAAGCGCCTCAACCTCCTCCGCCACACAGCTGTCTCCGCCGCATCCGCACCACGTCGACGCCTCCCTTGCAATCGCCACTAGATCCCAAGATCTTGCTAAGGAAACCCCTCAACCTGTCGCTGCCGTTGCTCCTAAAAGGTCAACAAAGGACCGCCATACCAAAGTCGACGGCCGTGGCCGGAGAATTCGAATGCCGGCGACATGTGCTGCTAGGGTTTTTCAGCTGACGAGGGAATTGGGTCATAAGTCCGATGGAGAAACAATTGAGTGGCTGCTGCAACAGGCGGAGCCGGCCATCATTGCCGCCACAGGCACCGGTACCATCCCGGCTAACTTCTCTACCTTGAACGTCTCCCTCCGTAGCAGCGGATCCACTCTCTCAGCTCCGCCGTCGAAGTCGGCGCCTCATCAATTTCACGGCGCTTTGGCACTCGCCCACCACCCGTTTGAAGAAGGCTTCTCTCAAATGTTGGGTTTTCATCAGCATCAGCACCATCAAAACCCTCATATTTTGACCGCCGACCAAATTGCTGAGGCAATTTCCACCGGAGGAAACGGCGATTCAACCGAGAATTACATGAGAAAAAGGTACAGAGAAGATTTGTTCAAAGATGAAAGTAATAATCAAAATCAAGGGGAAGTAACGGTTGGATCAACATCACCATCCAACAAACAATTCAAGGGATCCATGGAAATGCCAAAACAACAAGAAGCCGGACCTTCTTCCGGCAACAATATCCTCCGGCACCATGCTAATATGATGCCAGCAACCGCCATGTGGGCAGTTGCTCCGGCACCCACCAGTGCCACCGGCAACACCTTATGGATGCTACCTGTCTCCACCACCGGATTGACCGTCAGTAGCAGCAGTAGCCAACACTCCCATCTCCCGGCCGCCGCATCGGAGTCCCAACAACACCACCACCACCACCACCAGCAGATGTGGCCGTTCCCGACCGCCCAAGCCGTCGGCGGCGGAAACACGCTGCAAGCACCACTCCATTTCATCCCAAGGATCAACATTCCGACAACCAATCTCGAATTCCAACAGGGTGCAAGAGGAAATCCTCTCCAGCTGGGATCAATGTTGATGCAACAACAACCATCGCAACATCTGGGATTGGGAATGAGCGAAAGCAATTTAGGGATGTTAGCCGCCCTGAATGCTTATTCCCGAGGCGGTCTAAACATGAACTCCGATCAAAATCATCCTCTAGATCACCATCACCATCAACAACCACAACAACAACAACAACATCATTCACAAACCACTGACAGTGGTGATGAAGACCAAAACGATTCCACATGAGAGGTTAAGTTCATTGTATCCTTTTCTTTCTATAATTAGCAAAACAAAATCTGAATCAAATTTCCCATTTTCCTTCCATAATTTGCACCAACATTACATGGAAATAAATGGGTTTTCTTTACTTTTGCAGATTTTGATGTTGATTGATTGAAATTTTTCAAGACCAATTGAACCCAGCTTGAAATCCAAGAAATTGAAGAGGTATATGTTTTAATCATCATCATCATCATTCATCTTGTTCTGCTTTTATTAATTATTAATGCTTGTTTTTTTGGGCAAATTTATGTGTTGATTGTTGTGGATGTATTTCGGTAGGTTTGATCGAAACGGATAGTAGGAGTTTCAAGAGAGAGTGTATAGAAGGATATAATGATTTGTGTTTAGTATTATAAATTTGGTTTGTTGAATCCAATCAAAATCAGAAAAGAAAAAAAAAACAAAATTAAATTAAATATAATTTAAATTTTTGATTGCTTTAATTTTGCTATTTTTGTATAAATCTTTAAGCATCTTGTACAACTTCACTATGCACACTTGTTTCAAAATTTGGATTCATTTTATTTTCTTAAAGAAATAATTAGTAATTTTCTCAAAATTAATAAACGATAAAAGAAGAAACAATACCCGTGAGAAAAAAAAGTAAATAAAAAAACGATAATTACTAGATAAATAAAAGCAAATGTTTGACTTTTTTCATATATCTCGACACATTATTAATAAAATACCATTAATTATTAGCGGTTGATGTCTAGTTTCATTCAGCTAATTGATGTAAAATGAGTTACGTAAATTTGGACTTCCCAACGGCATACCCTCTTAGATCATTTAAAATACGAAACGATTTAGCAAATTATCGATAAACCCATTATTTGAAAATGGTAATTTAAATGGAAAAATAGTTTATCTCCTTTTAAAAAGAAACCAAATTAAGGGGAAAGGATGGGGGCCAAAAAGGCCTTTATCTTGCCTACTCATCTTGGGGTTAAAGTAAAACACACCATGATAATTGATAGATTCCTTCTTTCCTCAAACTTTCCATCATATATATATACACAGATACATATTTTTGTATTGACGGTATAAGGTTTATACAGCTACTGTTCATGTCTATTTGATTTTAATGTATCGTGTTATTGTATTTATGGCAAGTTGGTTTAACCAAATGAATATTTCTTTGTTTCTTGACGTATCCAACAAATACGCACATCATTGGCGGACATGCATTCAGGTACGTTATACTATATATCAATATGTCATTGACAAGTCGATGATACCTTTTGTCCATTTATTAGCATGCTTTCATTTTTTGGCAAATTATTAAATTACAGTTGCTAAAAATGTTCATATATAGTTAATTCAGAACGTGGGTTGGCAAATACGTATTTAGATTCCACATCACGTAAGCAAAGATATACGGAAAACAGGCATGTTAAGTTAATTTCATGAAAAAGGAGCTGGAAATGATGTTTAGACAAATATAGTTATTGTTGGTGTCGTTCTGAAAATAACGTTGTGGTGGTGAACTACAGGTGGTGGTCAGTGACGGTGGATGGTTGTACTCTTTTTTAATCAGTATACCTGTTTACGAATTTATTTCATAAAAACTATGAATGTTCCCCAATTCCTCTTCAAAGATTTTGTCATGTTGTTTGTTGTTAAAGAAACCCCACTTGGTCCTCAAAATCTTGCTAAAATCAAGGGAAAATTGAGTGATTTATTGATTGATTTCAAAATCTTTTGTAAAGTTATCAAAATCCAAGAAAACCTACCCAAAAGTGGGATGTTTGATGAGTTCATGAGTGGGAAAATAGAACATAATTCTTTGGGGTGATAGGGAAGTAAGATGGGGTCTAATTTTCACCAACATTCCCTTTTATTTTTATTTTTTTCTCAAATGGTCCCTACAACTTTTTGTATGCTAATCAACAATTTTTTGACCAAACTTATTAATGATCAAGAACGTTACAACAGGGCAACAAGTCCTCGTCCAACCAATTAGGGGTACCGACCCTTGACACTGGTTTTCACAAAGAATCGTGATCGGCAAACTAACTCGCGGCAACCTCATTTCTATTTCTCTTAATCAACATTTACAAATCTTTGTATTTGGCTTTAGATTTCAAGATGGGTAAAGATTTATGCTTTTTTTGGATTTTTACAACTATTAGAGTTTAGGGTTTATGGGTTTTATTTATTCTAAAAAGGTGTTAGGTCGGGAGCAATAGGGGGTGGGGCATGGAAATTGAAATCATTAATGATGTCTAGTTTGATGCAGTGAAACAAGCCAGTACCAAATATCGAGCAACTAAGCATTTCTTGAACAAAATTGAGGGGTGGAGAAACGAAACTCATTCCCATTTTCATTTCTCGACATTCTCATTCTCATTCTCATTATCATTATCATTACCATTTCCATTCTCCGACATGAACCAAACGTCCTCTATATTAAAGTCAAGCACAAAGATTAAAATATCAATAACTAGTTCTAGTTCTAGTTCTACCTTAGAATTTAAATACCCTTATCATTAAATGTCGTGTAAAAAAATCTAAAAATGCACCTGTCTTTTAATTTATAAGTAATAGATTAATTTGAATTATATTATTATAAAAAAGTTACAATTGTTTAGACAATAATAAATAAGAGACATTGCATTTTTTTTTATGTAATGGACCATATTCATTAACTACAATTTCTTATTAGAAACAAAACCAAATAAGAAAATACAACATAAATAAGAGCTCAACGAATAAAGGAAACAAGTCGCGAGAAAGTTGGTAGAAAATTATTCTTCTGTTATTGACAAACAGTATATAATAAACATTAGGTTGTTACCAGTTAAAGATAGGGAAATAACTAAATGAATTCCAAAAATCCGACTAAAAACTATGATCCTAGGAGCTGTTTGGTTCAAGGAGTTTGATTAAATTGGAATGACAAATTTCTTTAACAAAACTTTTTGGTAATGTTTTGTTAGCAGATTGAATTGATTGGATTCCCTCGAATTCCATGGTTGAGTGATATAATCATTTCTTGACATAAGTGAATGATTTTAAATTCAAGTTTATAATTTGGTTTTTTAAAAAACAAAAATAATATTTGCCTCCAATTTAATCAAAACCACCACCGCTATCCTCACCACCTGATCTACCCTCAACCACCATTGCCCACCCCACCCCACCCCACCCCCCCCCACCCCACCCCATTTACCGTAACCATCCTCCATTGTTGCTACCACTATCGTCACCATAATTGCCACTCACCCACCATAGCCCCAATGTTACCATGACGCTACTACTATTCACAATCACACTTGTCGTCCACCAACCACCCGTTGCCGTTACCCTACCACCACCTCATTATTATCGTCATTGCAATCGCCACCCATCCACCAGCTCCAACTCCAACACCACCACATCACTATTGTCGTCGTCACAACTGTCATCCGCAACACATGCAGATTTCAATTATTTTACGAGATTCCATCATGCTAATCAAATGTGTGGACATTTTCCATTCAAACTTTTTCAAAGTCAAATTAGTTTGATAGATTCTAATTCCACCAAATTACGTTACATGAACCGAATTTCTAGTGAACTAATAAACGGTCTAATGGTCCTACCAAAGCAAGGTTTTCTTCTCTCTCTCTTTAACTTCTTACCCGTTTGGTTTCTAGGATTGGACATGATTTGAAGGGATTTGGAATTTAATTTTATTTCAGTCCCATGTTTGGTTTGAATGATTGATTGCATTTGAAATCTCGGGATTTCATTGAAACTCCAAAAATATGGGATTTAGAAATCTCGTGGGAATTGTTGGCATTTTACGGGATTTTATAGGATTGTGTATAATAAGTTTTTTAAAATATGTCGAAAACCATTTGCTTTGTAATAATTAACTATTTTTATAATTACTTATAATTGTTTTTATAAAATCTTTATAAAAATTTAAATTCAATTTCATTCCAAATCCTGTAAAACCAAACACGAAATATTCCAAATTTCTCCAATTTCAAATCATTTCACAAAATTTAATCCCCCAAAAACATTCCGTCAAACCAAACGCTCCCATAATGTTTTTTCACATTTTTCTCTTTCATATATTTTTACCGTCCACTCCTTTTTTTTTGCAAAAAATGTTTTCATCGTATGTTAAAAGTTTAAAACTTCTTTTAAGCGATGTTTTTCACAACGAACAATACATTTTCATAATTTACATTACTTGTTTTTTTAAATTAATGTTATGCATTTTTTTTATCGTTACTATATTATTAGTATCATATTTATAACGTTACATTTGACAACAAATTAACGATCCATCTTTATTTATCTCATAACCCTTTAAATAAAAAAAGGATCAAAGAGACTTTGACCTAGAGGTATCGGAGCCTTCAGAGGTTCAAACCTCATCAAAGGCGTAGATGTACTGAATTAATTTGATGTATTTGTCGTATATAAATATTATGTACCCAAAAAAAAAAAATGAAAAAGGGTGTAGTTTGTGAATAAGTAGAAGTATAGGGGAGGTTTTGGGTGGAAGGTGAAAGTTGAGGGGTAATTATGAAAGTAGGGAGTGAGTGAGGACGAGTTGACTCGGGGGTTGTGTGAACATGGATGTTAGTTGTTGACTTTTGGAGTCAATTGAGGGGACTCGTCATAATCAATGAATTGCTTTTCATGAATGAATTGGAAAAGGGGTGGGGTTTGTAGACTTTTTGACCATTTTCATTCAAATAAATAACATGGAAAATGACTTTTCTTTTTTATTTTTTTATTCAAAATTCCGAACTTTTTATCCATGAAAAGATTTGCTTGGATTGTGTTTTATTTTATTCCCCATTTCCATATTTAATTACTTTTACAATTTTATTTAATTTTTTTATATTTTTTAATGATGTGTAACTTTAATGTAAGAAACATGTGAAATGTATATGTTCAAATACAAAATAATTACGTTTGGACGTGAGTAAGATACATCTCCACGTACCATGCACATGATTGCTGCAACTTTAGTTTGATCAGATAAAAATACATACCAGATATTTGATTATGGTTTACGACTGTTGTAACATCCAGTATTATTGGATCCAAGAATATTGGTTTTGGGAAGGAGTAGAGTTGGGTTTGAAAATATTACGAGAATCGTTACTATTCCTAGGGGTGTTAACAGACAGAGGCGAATCGAAACAATAATACCATGCTCGAGCTTAATTGGTTTTCTCAATGTAGTGCTCGAGCTTGAGCTCAAATATTCGAGCTCGAGCTTCTATACATATTTAACAAGTTTGAGTTATGCATTATATCTCAAATTCAAGTTTTGTCTTAGCTCGTCTATATGCTCGAGTTCGGGATCGATTAACATGTTTACTGGATCGACCTCAATAACTTGATATTGTGATTGCATGGTTTACGA